AAAAAGAAAAAAGAAAACGCTAGACCGTGTTCAAGTCAAACAAGTTTCCAACGGCGTCAAGATAGGCGTCGTTCCACCCATCGTACAGACAAGACAGGACAGAACAACTGAACAACGCAAGAGAAAGGGTAATGTAACACGCGCCTTACGAACAAATAATAAACACGACGACAGTGAGAAAGCAACCTAAGTTAGGAGATGTCGGTTTGCTAGGCGAGTTCAGTCAGTTTTCAACTGTATGTAGTAAGCTTCGACGATAGGAAGTCAGTGTAGAGGGATGTAGCGCAACTTGGAATCGATACGTAGCTCTGACCTTGGATCGAAGGGCTTAAACCTTCCGCAACCAGATTAAGCAGTACGGTTGATTATGTGGTACCGTGCGCTGGTTGCCTGGTCCCTGAACCAGATAAAAAAGGATGCGAAGGGATTAAGCGACAGCAATGACATTGTAAAGGAATCCCGACACGTAGATCGTTTGTATGAACGTAGGCGACGAGGCACCTGTACCTGACGACGGTATTAAACCGACATTCACCGAACGACCGGTGATAAGGCAATCCGACGACGGTAACACCATCACCTTCGAATGCCGATTAGTCGGCGACCCGAAACCGAGTGTCAAGTGGTAAGATTGCGTGCACGTCCCCACATCGCGGAAGTACGTAGGGACTATGAGCGTTTAAATCACGTATAAAAGAAATGTTGGTAATTATGTAGAGTGTAGGGCGTTCAAAATAAGTGGGTGGTATTCACAATTGAGTATAAAAGTATTTGAACATTCATGAACGTGTTACGTGTGTTATACAAAATATTTTGGAATTTTATTAATAATGTACTGGGACTGTTGTGATTGCGTTGATCCGGTTTGAAACAAATTAGAGGTGAAATGTGGAAATTATAGAATGTTTGATACAAGTGTAGAAGTCATTATTAATTGTATTAGTAGGTTTTAATATTTAGTGGGATTATTTTTAACGCGTTTAAAATGATTGTTTATGTCTATCAATTATCTAAATTTATAGAATATTTTATAATCTTGTGATTCCACACTCTATAATTCCAGATTTATAATTTGCAATATTTTATCAGTGTTTCTCGTTACAAAATTAATGGAATTAGAAAATGTTTTGTATAACATACATGATACATGTAAAAGTACCATGATAAGTGTTCTAATATGTTTACGAGCCGTGATATGATTTTAGACGTTACGACATATAAAAAAAAAATATATATATAACAGTTTTAAGATGTACAACTGTTCAAAAATTTAGTGATCAAATTGTGTTCCATCAATAAAAATAAGAGTAAAATTTCACATAGCAAAAGTTTATAAACGCTTCATTAAAAAGTTTTGGCAATTTAATATCTTTTACTTTTTCTAGCCAGAATCTACGTAATCTAATATTTCTAATATCATAAGGTTATAAAATACGTACATACAAATATAATAGATTCTGGGTAAATTGAAGCTCATAATCACAATTTATAGTTATAAAATTAAGTAACTTTAAGTTTATAAAAATAGAAACACGCTTATACGTACAAATATAATAAATTATGAGTAAAAAATACTTATAAAGATAAGAAATTAAATTAAGTTTACGGGAATACATAAAAATTTGTAAACTAACAATAACATGTTTCAAGTACATCAAACTCGACGAAACGTGGCTTATATTACATAATTACCAACATGTTAGCTCGTAGTCCTCTCTCCACAGCATGCTGTTCACCCACTCCTTTTCTCTCTCTATCTCTACTCCTTTTTTTTTTTTTTGAGAGAGAGAGAGAGAGAGAGAGAGAGAGATAATCGAATGTTACTAGCGATCGAATTTTCGTACTTCCAATCGCGTCACCTTGCGAATGCACTGAGCATACATCATGGTTTGATGGGCACGAATTAGGTATCATGGTAGCGACGAAGTGAAAGAAGGCGGAAGATACAAAATGTTGCTGGAACTCGATCAGAAGCTGTACCATCTCGCGAGGTTAAAGATCGACAACGTGGCGAAAGGCGATGCCGGTGAATACAGGGCCGTCGCGAAGAACAAACACGGCCAGGGTGTGGCGACGATTAACTTAAACTTCGAGGGGGGTGACAAGCTGAAGTACGCATCGATGGTATTCCCAGCCGGATGATCGTCGCGTTGCTAGATTTAGATATACTTGGAAGCTCAATTTTTTCTCTCATTTTTCTTTTTTTTCTGTGTCATCGCGTATATATAGTTCCTGGCTATGAATACAATTCTCGAAATTGAGAATCGTCTATGAAAATTTATTTTCTTTTTTTTAAGAATAATACTTTGTAAGTCTCTGGTTGTTTAGATTATTCAATACGTAGGTGGTCGTGTGTGTAACGATCTTGAATCTTGAAAGTTTTGGAAGTATCGATGAATAGTGAATATTCAGTATTTTATGAGCAGTTATAATAATTCATGCCAAATATCGGTGTATTATTGGTGTAATATATTAAAGAATATCCAGAAAGTAGGGTATGGGATATATTTACATTTGCATAAATTATTCGTTTTTATACTAGGTATCGCGCACTAGGAAAATGTTGAAAAATATCTATCTGTAAAGTAATAAGTATTAAAGATCTATCAAGATCTTATTAATACTTCCAAAATTCAAGACATACAGAATGCACATGGTACAGAAGAATATAGAAAATATCTAAATGTCCAAAGTAAAATATTTAGTAAATGACACAACAATTTAAGTTCTACGTGTTTCTTGAATCGAGATCATAAAGATCTGCAATTTTACTACGCGTAAAATTCTCAATTTATCAATGAATTGAAAAGTACTGAATATTTTTGTACGGTCTTAATTCAATAACCAGGAACTACAAGCAAAAAAGCTACAACTAAAAAAGCTTTCCATCTCGTCTTTATCTGAACTAATGCAAAGTAGTCGCAGATCTGATAGAACGTATACAAGATATTATTACAAAGATTTCCTAGCGACGCGACGAGCAAAGAAATCCGCAAAAAGAAAAAAAAAAAAAAAAAAAAAAAGAAAAACTAAGATCTCCGGCGCAGATTCAACGTCCGCGTAACGGAGAATCGATCCGCGTATCTGACGTGTCGATTTACACAGAATACCGGACGGTAAACCGCCACGTTTCCCAAAGAAGCCAACTATTCGACAAGAAGGAGACATATTGATAATGGAGTGTGTCTTGGAAGCACATCCGGTACCAGATATAACGTGGTACCAAGGCCAGAAAGCGATCACCGACAGCAAACGCGTGAAGATGTCACGCAAGGCGACTGGAAAGGACACGTATTTGCTCACGCTCGAGATCTCGAATCCGACGAAGGCCGACGGTGGAAATTATCGATGCAACGCGTTTAACAACTTTGGCGAGAGTAACGCCAACATCTCCCTCAACTTCCAAGGCAAGTCCCTCTCGATGCAGCAAACGTCGCGCTGTGTTCTCATTGGCTCCTGCTCCTCACATATTATTTTGAGATTTTTAAGAGATAATTTTGGAAACTCGGATCTTAACCCCCTTTGCGGCAATTATTTTATTTCAACGAATCTTTCGTTTAGACATTTTGCACATTTTAATCGGTTTGTAATAGTATATTATCAAGTTACATTTTATACTGATATATTTTGTATTGCATTACATGTTATATTATACTAATACGTGTATATACGTGTATGTCGTTCAAAAGTTCATTAGACAGATAAATTAGTTTATAAATAAATATCACTGACTTTTTTAACAGAAACTTTTGGATAGTACTGTTGGAGCAACAAAGTATTCGATACTCCTCTGTATAAATATGTTCAACGTAACAGTTGCTATGTTTATTTTTTTTTTTTAAATCGATTATGATCGCAAAGGATCAGTCTGTTAACCGGAGCCTAATTAAATGATATTATAATTACATTTACAAAGATTGGGATCTATTTTTCGTATATTATTAATCATCAATTCTTTGTCTTTAATTGTCACTAATTGTCTCTATTGATCGTGAAGAAATAACCCGGTTAACAGATTCAAGAGAAGAGTTCAAAATTTTTGGGCTGTATAATTTTTGTCATGGACGAAGTTTCATCTTTGTTTCATATTTTTGCAAATCTTATCATTTTTGGAATTTGGAGCCAAACGAGGACGTTCCCTCTGAAACTTCGATCTCCCATCTTTCCTAGCACGTTTTTCTCATCAGTCAAAATCGTATTAGAAAATAATTACCTGAAGAATGTACGTCAGTATTGTTCGCGTGTAAATACAATACATGAATAGGTTCCCTCGTTGTTTCCAAGGGAAGGTAAGTGCATGTTGCGCTATTGCTAACTAATCACAGAGTCCTTTTCTCGTCGCTTTTTCAACTGGCTGAATCCTGAACGAAATTCTCGGGCGAAAGCTCGGGGATTCACAGGACGAAACGTAAAGTAGAAAATTAACTTAACATCATCGAGTTTCATTAACATGAAGTAAATTTAAACCCTCCTTGATTGGCTTGATCGTGATTTTCGTTGAATGAATTTTGATGGAACTCGCGATCCGGCTGCCGGAGTCGCTTCTGCCAGTTGACGGCCGGAAGTCGGCTCTGTTTGTGATTGTGCTTAACCGTGGATCTTCCCAAGATGCAGAAGAAGGGCCTGGTTTCGCGCCGACGTTCGTCGAGAAACCGCGTATCATTCCGAACGAGACCGGCACCTTGATCACGATGAAATGCAAGTGCAAGGCGAACCCGAAACCGGAAGTCACGTGGTTCCGCGGGACCAATGTCGTCAAGGAATCTTCCAAGATTTCCATCAAGACGACAACTGTGGAGGAGGACGTTTACGAGTTAATTATGGAGATCAAGGTAATGTCGTTAAAATTCTTAACCTTTTATCACGTAATATGAAATAAGAGAGTGACTTTCTATCACGTAAGAGTATTTTTAGTGACACATAATTTAGTAATTAATTGCTGGGAAGTCTCAAACGACTTCAAATTCTTCTTATTTCTGTTGTATTCATGTTGACAAAGAAATACATTAAATACATTAAATACATTAATTTGGTACAATTTGTTATTATTTAAGATTATTACATCTCCTGTTGTATATCTTAATTATTATTCTGTGATATCTTAGGCTAGGGAAAATATATTGATATCTATAAATTTATAAACTCGTGATTTCCTTATTTTGCTTATTATAGTTGCTTCACAAGTCAAACTCATTCTCGAATGAGAGGCGCCAGGTCAATAATTTGTAAATTAAATAAAAAAAGAATTGAAATTCTACATGAATTCTAAATGAATACAAAAAGAAATATTGAAAGAAATAAAAATCAAGATTGAGGAATTCAAATAAATCTGGATATTAAAATTGCAGGATCCTTCGGCACCGGACGGTGGCACGTATAGGTGTCACGTGAAAAACGAATACGGCGAAAGCAACGCCAATTTGAACCTAAATATCGAGGCAGAGCCAGAACCGGAAGGCGATGGTCCTACCTTCGTTGAGAAACCACGTATTCAATCTCAAAATCAGGGGAAACTCGTAATCATGGATTGTAAAGTGAAAGCAAATCCGAAACCTGAAATTGTATGGACTCACGCCGGCAAGGTGGTGAAGGAGTCTTCCAAGATCTCGATTAGTATCGTTAAAGAAAAGGAAGATATTTATTACATTAAACTGACTTTGAACGATCCTGGCCCCGAAGACTCAGGCTTGTACAAATGTAATATTAAAAACGACCTTGGTGAATTGAATGCCAATTTGACGCTCAACGTTGAAAGTAAGTTTCAGATTTTAATTTGTTATTATTTAATAATCATGAATACTTATAATATACCAGAAGACATTAAATATTGAAAACTAGTTGAAATCTTTGTTTTTCCAAGTTTTTGATTCTTTTATAATGTAGCGTGAAAGAACACTCGAGCATGTTCAAAAATTTAACTCCCAAATAGTTGGAAAATTTAGGATATTTAATTTTATTTGAGATAGAGATTATATACGTTTATGGTAAAATGTAAGTGTGAGAGGCACGTATCCATTCTCCGTTTTAGTTATACCCGTGATCAAGGAAAAACCGAAGGTCATAAAGATTGTGAAAAAGAAGACAGTTATAGTAGAATGCCACGTCCTTTCCAAGTTCACGCCAGAATGTACTTGGTTCAAAGAAACGAAAGCCGTTAAAGAAGACAATAGGCATAAAGTCCACGTCGAGCAAGTGAAAGATGTAAGACGTAACAAGGTCTTTTTTCCACGTTAATGAAAAGGAGCTAATTCAATCTGTGCTTGTAGGGAGAATTTACTGTCAAGTTAGAAATCGAACAAGTATCATCTGTCGACAAGGGTGTGTATAAATTAGTGGCTCGTAACGAGAAGGGAGAGGCAACGTCTCAAGTTGTAGAAGTGACAGAGATTATGGAAGAAGGAGAGAAACCCAAGATTCTATCAGGCTTGAAATCAGCGGTGAGTTTTTTCTTTTGTGATATCTCTTTTAAAAAATTAAAAAAATTTGAGTAGTCTATTTATTGACAGTATAAGCTCCTTTTTTTATAATAATAGAAATAATGTTGTTTTCTCAGCTATTTTACAATAATAATTATTTATATAATAGCAATAATGGCACAATGTATTTTTATGATGGATTGTTATTTGTTGTTTTAGACAATTGAGGAAGGTAAATCGATCGAACTTATCGCTAGCCTTTCGAAACAGGATCGCAAAGTTACTATTACGTGGTATAGGTAAATGAATTATTTCAAGTCACTATAAAATTTAATATCATTTCAAATGATCATCGTATAACGCAAATGTTAAATTTTGGAAAAATTTTCTTGTAGGATATTCGTTAAGTTCGTGGATTTGTGATAAACATTGATATGGAGATAAATATTTTTTCCTTGTTCGTCCAATATTCTTTGAACCTACATTGTATAAATGCTGCATTATACGAGGATTATCTAAGTGAGATTATCGAGTGGAATAAATTTAAACTTATCGGACTATTTTCTTTTTTCCAGAGATTCCACGGTTGTTAAAGCTTCCAAGGACATCATGATATCTTTCAATGGTATAGATATGAAACTAACAATCACGTCTGCCTCCACTTCGTACTCGGGAACATATAAAGTAACTGTTAGTAACGAATTCGGTCAAGACGAATCATCAGCGCGACTGGTCGTCGAGGTAAGAAATACAAATATGTTTCGACATTGTTTCTTTCCCTATTTACAAGTTATGTCTAATGTTGCAAGTCTATTACAATATCCCCAGTTAAATTATGCCCAATGTTACAAACTCTGTATAAATTGTCCTCTTAAATAAATTGTGCTCTTTCCAATATTAAGTTCATTATGTGATTGAAAACACACGTATATAACCTTGGATGTTGCACGCAATTCCTTGTCCGTATTGTAGAAAAAAGAAGAGAAGAAAGAGGAGGAAGAAGAAAAGAAAAAGAAAAAAGTCGAAAAGAAAGAAGAAGAGAAGAAGGAGGAAAAGAAGGAAGAAAAAAAGGAGGAGAAGAAGGTAGAAAAGAAAGAAGAGAAAAAAGAAGAAAAGAAAGAAGAGAAGGTAGCGAACGTTGTTGTTTATATTGTTTTTCAATTTAACCTGTTTACCCCCTTTGTTACGTGTTCATTCCTTTATTAATTCATTTTTTTTACAATTCTCTTCATTTTATAATCAACCTTCCTACACATTGAGAACATAAACTCACACAAACACAGAACTAAACTTGTTTTTGATAAAGTTGAAACAAAAGTTTCACGAAGATCAAAATTATTTTTTTTTTTTTTACGATAATTCGGCTCTTTTGAAATATATCTCGATATTACGGCACAAAAGGTAAAAAGTTACGGCGAGAAAAAAAGAGTTCCCGAAGAGGAAGAAGAAGAAGAAGAAGAGGAGGAAGAAGATGAAGAGGAGGAGGAAGAAGTGGTGAGTGTTATCGAGTCCAGCATTGCGGAGCCGATTATCGACGAACCAGATTCAGAAATTTCACAAGTAGAGGTACACGCACACACGCTACACATATTTACACAAATATACATGCATACAGTTTAGATTATTTTTTAAATCACTCGATATTTTTTTGTATTTCGACATTCAAGTATTTTTTAATGAATTTGACACACAGGGTGTTCCAGGTTTTTCAGATTAAATTTTCTTTAAATTCTATAGACGTAAATGAGAGGATAATCTTATTTAAATATAGATTATTTAGAACATTACTAAAAGCCAAATATACAATATACAATATATAATATATTTAATAATATTAAATATATTATATATGAAGAAAATAATATTGAAAGTATTAATTTCTGGTAGTGTTACTCGATTTCATATCATTATAGATTTTTATGTGCAGATAACTTTAAAGAAAATGACATATTATTTAAATACCAATATCGTGAACTGAAAAATTGACAGATTTATTAAAATGAAGTAAAATGAAGAAAAATTCTGTGAGATAATAAATTAAATTTTTTTACTTCCTTATTTTTTGGTACAGTAGATCTTTTCGTATTTCTACAATTTTGTAATAAAACTTTAAACAATTCATATTTATTTAACATTTACTTCTTATCTATATCTATAATATACAATGAAGAAAGGAAAAATTTAGACCACCCGATATAATTTTTAAATCTTTTTTTATATTTTTTAAGGAACAATTTTTGCTAAAAAGTTAAACAATTGATCAAGATTTTTTTTTAAATTATTTTCAAGGACATACCCGACCATAGACCGAACGGTATCGACGAACCCAAGAAGGTATGAATAATTTTTTTTTGTGATTTTGACACAAAATTGTAAATCATATTTTTTATAAAGTGATCTTTTCACTTTACACGGTACACACATTTAGAAATACAAATCGCAAAATTTTACTTCCGATGTCACCCCTTATGGTTCCTTAGTGAATGTTTCGTGTTTTAACTACATGTACCTATTTCTATTGCAAAAGATTCGTGTAAAAATTATTACAGAAGGTAAAGAAGATTTGCTATTCAAAACTGTTTGGGAAATCATTTTAGGCTATTATAGAATCGAATTGACAAAATATTAAATAAAATCTTTTATTTTTCTGTTTCAGAAACTGGAAGTTCTACAGGTAAGCGATCAAATATTTAATTTAGATAAAGTATACGCTCGAGTTAGCGGATCAGTTTTTTTTATTGTATTGTAAAAACAATATTGCGAACAATTATTACACGTAGCTCTAATGCGTACGCTTATAGATTCAATAAATTCAAGAGATAAAAGGCATGGTTTTAACAATTAAAATTATTTTCAGCTTTCATCGAATTAACTGCTCTCTTTTTCAGCTTTTCTATCGAATTTAACTACTCTTTACCCTAATTTTATTTTTTTCAGCTTTTATTAATGATATACATGTTTCAGCTTTTATCATTCCTGATTATAATTTGCGTCAAAACATTCATTGTTACTTTAAGATTTTATTTCTGTTACAGCTGAATTATTTATGATCGTTTATCAATTATGTAACATGTACCTTATCTTTTCTTTCTCATTCTTTAATTTAGTGCTTAAGTTTTAAGTTTAACTTTCTTTGTCCTTACTTTAGAAGCTGGGCTATAACAAAAGACGCTATAATTTCTCTTTCTATTCCTTGTTTTGTTCCTTTCCATCGATCAATTCCTATTCTTCTGCATGCTTCTATTTTTATGTTATTTGATTTTCAAATGTTTATTTAAATAGCATATAGCCGAATTTACTTATAATTTACTTAAGAACGTATAGTATATAAATATACTTACGAGATAAGGTAAGAATATTATTTATTTCAATGTGTAGCTATTAAAACAAACGAATTAAAAATCGTCTTACTTTTTTATATAGAAAAAGCCAGAAGAAAAAGTCGAAGAAAAGAAGGAAGTTGAAAAGGTAATAATTTTAAAATTGAAATGGAAGCATTTGATTGAATCATAGAGAAATTAATCGAATTTATTCTTACAGAAAAAGCTTGTGAAGAAAGAACAAGAAAAGAAAGAGGTAAAGATAGATTTTTTTCAACTCGTTTTGTTTAGACTTTTAGTTAATTTTTTATTTCTCTTATTACAGCAACTTAAAGCAGAAAAAGTGGTATCTCGCAAGCAGTCTGTTAGCAGAGTAAGTAACAGTCATTTAGAATTTTTATATATAATACTTTATAGAGTTACATGGAAGTATTCTAGAATTTCTCACGGAATGTTTTTACAGAATTTTTGTATCACGTAGAATTTTTTACATGTAAACTATTGTTAAGGAAACTAGTATTACTTTATATTCTTTTCTTTTATATCCTTTAATAGGTGGAAGAATTGCGAACAGAAAGTCGAAGAAGTTCTTTGGTAGCAACAGAAGAAAAGGTTAAACTTGCATTTATTCTTTTTAGTTTAATACTAGAACATTACGATTAGATGCCCATTCGCTTAACTGTAGAAATCCAATATTTTATTTATTTATTTATTTTTTTAATTATTTTTAATATGTAGATTTCCGAAGATGGCCGCATAACACCGCGACGCATGTCTATTCAAAAGGTACACGAGCACCGAATAATTATACACAAGCTCAAAAATCTCAGGATAAATACTGTGTTCATTTTAACACTTCATTTAAAAAATTAAATAACATTTTATAGAAAAGTCTGCAAAGTTTCCGTAATATATCAACAATTGTATTATAAAATATAATTTAAAAATTGTAATCTACGATAAATACGATTAAAAATAAAAATTATTCTAAGATTTTCGAGAGTGCAGATTCAAATCGCATAATGCTTTTTAGATATCATTTATTCAACTAAATGAATAGTCTCTTATCAATGAAAATCCTGTTATTTTTATATTAATTATTTTTTTCTTCTTTTTCACACGTATACAGGCGGAAGCAGAAGTCAAGATAGAAAGCAGACGTTCTTCCATCATTGAGAAGACAGTGACGGCCGAGAAGGTAAAAAATTATTTTTGGTTTCTTTTATTGTAATTTTCAAAAATTCTAATCATTCCTTTGTCAGTTCTTATTATTAACGTTGTGATTAATATCTGTGAGAAATTAGTCTATATACAATTTAAGAAAATTAAAATTGGGACAGTAAGTATCGTGTGTGACACTGACCTTCTTGCAAATGACACAAGAAGGCTAATAATACTTAATGTTAAATGTTTATGTGACATATATGTATTCAAGTAATCGTTAATTTTGATAATAAATGACAATCTGTAGATTAGTAATTAATTTAAATTACGTAAGGCAAACGTTCTCTAGCATATAAGTAGTAGTCCTACACGATAACGCAGACCGTTATGATATGACGTAGACCTATTTCACTGATTCGCTGTAAAGGAGATTGCCTTGACATAATTAGTGACAGAATTTTTGTTTTTAAATCATGTTTTTAGTAGAGCCTGATACACAGTTAAAACAACTAGAAGAAAATTTAATTTATAATTTTGTAAATATCTAGAATGTTTTAAATTCTATAATGTTTAAAATTTTTATTTTTTATTATTTTCGATTTTTAGACAGATAGAGAGACCCCGAAGTTTAGACCTACATTAACATCAACACAACACGTAAAGGTACACGAAACACAAAATATACACATTACAGAGTCACATAAAACATTTTGGAAATTAAAATGTATACACTGTCATTATAGATTTCGCCAAGACATAGTATTAAATATTACGAGCCCGAGCCTGACGATGAAATCGAGGTAAATGATTTAAGGAAAGAAAATTACTTGATATTATAATCGAAACATACATATTTATAAAAAATCGTGTTTGTAGGATATTTGGGCTTCTGTTCCAAAAGAACCCGAAATAAAATTCACTAGAAAAAGAGAGGTACACATTAAAAATTGAAACATACAATTTTTGTGTTATAGAGCAATTTGTTAATCATAATTTCATTTAATTATAGGATGTATTAAGTGTAAAACATCAATCAGTTATACACGAATTCCCTAAAAAATCAAACATGGAGGTATATTTCTATTTTATTGTTATTAAATGCTGTTTCCCTTAACATTGTTTTATCGTATAAAATACTTTCTAGGAAAAATCAAAAACACATTATACTAAATCAGAATTTCCTGAAAAATCAAACATCGAGGTATCTTTCATATTTTTTATTCACATTAATCTCATAGAAATTTTTTTACAATTTTATCGTACAAAATCATTTGTAGGAAAAATTACGACCTCGTTACATTGAACATCAATTCTCTGAAAAACCGAACATTAAGGTAGATATTTCTTTATGGATAATAACCATAATAATGAATTTTTTATATATTTTTTTTTTTATTTTTTTATCGTACAAAATTCTTTTAGGAGGGAAAATCACCACCACATTATACTAAACACAAATCTCCTCAGAAAATTAACATTAAGGTACATATTTTTTTTTATATTTTTTGTATCACTTTTTATATTTTTATCATTCAAAATTTTTTATAGGGAAAGTCACAACCAGAGTATACTAAACTCGACAAATTATCAATTCATAAATACGAGGTAGAGAATGAACGAATTCATTTCTTTTTCAATTTTTTTTCTTTAATTATATTTATTACGTTATTCATAAAAATGCAATTTTAGGATGTACCAATATCATTATCCGAGTCTGCACCACATAGATCTAGTACAGATTCAACACACGAGGTATACAATACTTTATACAACTACACTTCATACACTTTCGATAAAATTGTGAAAAATTGTGGTCATTAAACGAAAATAATTTTAGGGTTTTATTGAATCACAATCAAATATGCCTGGAAAGAAATTAAGTAGAAACGTGGAGGTAGATCATTATTATTTCTCTATTAATTCTCTTCTAATAGTCGTTCTGTTATTACAATCCTTGTTTCATTATAGGATGAGTCACAATCTAAATTAGTGCAATTCAAAGAACCGAATGAAGAAATAACAGAGGTAGTTAATTTTTTCTTTATAATACAACAGAGTCTCTACTTAAAAGTTAAAAGTTAAAAACGAAGATGGAATATTATATTCATTGATTTAAATCCATTCTTTTATCTTCTAATATATACAGTTTTTTGATATAAGAAGTCTTTTCAAATGTTTCGTATATTTTGATGTAAAAAAACACATTATTATTCTCTATTTTATCAGTTAAGACATTGTACACGTACTGATATATTGCATTAATATATCACATTATGTATAATATATTAATTGAATATAGATTTGTGCTGTATAATTATATACATACGTATATTTGGAAGTATATAATAAATGCCTTTTTCAATTACAAATACTATTGTTATACAGTGAAAGAATCAAGGTGAAAGTATTTGTGTTTATAAAATAAATAAATTAAATTAGAGGCTTTATTGTACGCCATATTACAAGGAAAATATAAATATTAATAAATAAGTAAATTTTAGGATACTCGGGCAGGTAGGCCTCGTGATTCTGATATTAAATTTATTAAGAAAATTGAAGTATTCACGTAGATTAAATATTTTATAATATTATGAAATTTATTTTCAATTTATTTTTTTTTCTTATTTTATTTCATATGCATTTATAGGATGTGTCCAAGATTACACCTGAACCATCTATACAAGAGCCAAATAATGAAATAGAGGTAGTTTTCTTTTTCTTTTTTTCCCTATCTCATTTCCTTCTATTTCTTATTTTCTACTTTTCTTTCATTCTCTTTCTTTAATGTATAATTTTCAAAAAATTTTCACGAATACACGATTTGTAGGATATCTGGGCAGATAGGCCACAAGAACCAGAAATTAAGTCAATTTGGAGAAAGGTACATGATTCGTTCGATTAAAGTTTCAATTATATAATAAATTGTGATCTTTTATTAACGAATAAGTGTCTAATTATTTTAGACTCCACAAATGACTAGCTCAGATTTGCCAGAAATACAACATATAGTACCTAAGGTACATACATATGTTCATCATAATATAAAATAACATAAAATTTTTTTTATATTTTTTTTTATATATTAATTGGACATGTTTTAGGACACTTGGAAACCAAATTTGAATGAAACAAATGACAAAACTCATACATTGAAACCCGAACAAAAATCGGAAACGCCTTCGGTTGATTCGATTGACAAAGCAGAGGTAGAATAGCATTGATACTCTTCTATCTCTCTGTTCAAATATTAAAATGGAACATATATTTTTTTTTCTTTTTTTTTTCTTTTAGGAAAAAGTTAAACCGAAATCAAAAACTCGAAAAAAGATTAAAACGGACGAGGTACATAGTATAATATATAATATACATATGTATGTGTGTACACTATCGTTCATAAATACTCGGACACTTGGTCAATATTTATTAGTAATATATAAATTTAATTAAAATATATGAATTAGTAATAAATTAATAATTAATTTAAAAATGATTCAAGACAAAAAAATTATTGTTGTTTGATTTATCTGTAATTTTGCAATTACCCCGATATTTTTGGACAATACTTGTATATACACATACGTATGTATACAAAGTACATGACGAAGCATAGTGTAATATAAAAAAAATACGATTAATTCTGATCGTTTTAGAAAGAGGAAGCGAAACCAAAATCTACCTCTCGCAAACTTGACAAAGCGAGCAAGGTACCACCTTTTCCCGTTATTGTATTTTAAAAATTTAAATTTTAATTGAACGCACGATATTTTTAATACTTTTTTTTTCCTTCGTTTGTAATTTTAGAAAAAAGAACCACTCGCACGACGTAGATCATCGACAAAATCAACAGAGGGGTCTCAGGTACAGGGAATAGAGAACACAATTACACAGTTTATAATATCACACGAATTTGTTACATTTCTTCCATTTATTTATTTTTTATTCTTTATCGTTGTGTATGTTATTCATTTGTATGAATATTATCTAGGAGGAAGAGCCTACGTTAGATTCTAAGCAAATGGACAATATTACGAATGGAACTAAGGTATATAAAATACATATGTGCAACTATATACATGCAGCTAGTACATCATTAATTAAAAAACATTATTTTTGAAAATATTAAGAATACTGAATATTAATTTGTTGATTGTGTTATTGTGAATTGTATTAACGTAGTTATATTGACTCTTTGCATTGGGAATACTAACATGTTGCATTACAACATGTTTTCTTCGATGATATTAATTGTCAATCATGTTGACACAAATGTTATTGTATTCTATAATTATATGCAATTATTTGAAGCTAAGATGCACGTATTATCACAGATTTTGATTACAATCATTAGACTGCGGATCTCCGTGGAATTTCATATTTTTATGAATAAAACTAAAAAATTGGAAATTATTCTACTTTATTTAATGTATTTAAAAGTGCAAAGAAGCGTTCTCTGTTTTTGCATAAAACTCCGTAGTCTAATAATCATTTTTAAGAAGAGACATTATAAAATGTAAATGTACGTTCAGATAATCTTAGCTGTGATAAGCAAATAATTTTGAACTGAATCGTTGCAAGAAAATCATTCCCGAGCGCAAAGGGTTGACAGTCAGCGAATAAATTTTGAACATTTTCTATGATTTTTTTTTAGAAAGCGGAAGTCGTCACGAAAGCTAAAACCGTTGGAAAGGAAGAAAAGAAGGTAGAAAATGAACGCGTAATTTTATCGTACAATACAATTTACTTCATGTCGCACATACATTAAATACACATTAAATGACTCGTACTCAGATACTTTAAATTCACGTGCATTAATTTTAGGAGGAACTCAAACCCACACTCAAAGTAGAAGAACCTAAGGTACATAAAACGTATACAACATACATATATATATATACACTATTTATCGATGTTCGCCTTACAATACGATACGATTGATTTTTAGAAAACAGAGCCACCAAAATCAAAGGTCACTCTCGGTAAACCCGAGGAGGCTAAGGTACACAGATTATACATTTTTCGATATTAATTCTCAATAATGTCAAGAGATAACGTTTCAAGAATTCTGATATTCTTAATTGATTTAGTATTATTAACGTATTAACTGAAAACTTACTGATTTCCCTAACGAAATCGTTATCGGTACATAAGATTATTAACTTTTAGAAGGAGGAACCTGTCACGAAACTCAAAACACCTATCATTAAACCCGAAGAAGCAAAGGTACACGACAACACTATATCAAAAATCATTTAACTTAAATACACAGTCGTTTTTCGAGTACACTATCCTCGACATGTTTACTCTTTTTAGAAGGAGGAACATATCACGAAACCAAAAACATCTATTGTTAAGCCTGAAGAGGCAAAGGTACACAACATTACGTCAAAAATCATTTATTTCGTGTACACAATCGTTCCTTTAGTATTCCTAACACTATTCTTGACATACTTGCTCTTTTTAGAAGGAGGAACCTATCACGAAACCCGAAACACTTACCGCTAAGCCTGAGGAGGCAAAGGTACACAACACTACATAAAAAATCATTTGTTTTTCAGTAAACAAACAGTCGTTTTTTTAATATTCCCAACACTGTCCTTGACATATTTACTCTTTTTAGAAGCAGGAAGTTATCACGAAACCCAAAACACTTATCGCTAAGCCTGAAGAGGCAAAGGTACACGACACTACATGAAAAATCATTTATTTCGTACACACAGTCTTTTTTTAGTACCCCCAGCTACCCTTGACATATTTATTCTTTTTAGAAGGAGGAGCCTGTCACAAAACCCAAAACACCCGCTGCTAAACCCGAAGAAACAAAGGTACACAACATCGCGTCAGAAACCATTTATTTTCCGTACACAGTCTTTTCTTTTTAGTATTCCTAACACTATCCTTCACATATTTACTCTTTTTAGAAGGAGGAACCTGCTACGAAACCTAAAGTCACACTTGGTAAACCCGAGGAGGCTAAGGTACATGAGATCCTTTTTTGCTTAGATATAAACTTTTTTTTCCTAAATGCAAGATTCTTTTTTTTTTTTGCGTGTTACGTCTTTTTTGTACGAACACAAAGTCACACGATGGCCTTTTTTTTTTAGAAAGAAGAACCTGTTCCGAAACCTAAAACCACTCTTGGTAAACCCGAGCCACAAAAGGTACACGAAATTAAACTTGTGTGTTTATGACGGGGTGTACTCACTGATAACACTGTTCGTGAATAGTATTTCTAAAATTTTCTCGAAAATATTGCTTCTAGCAAATCAGGAGCAATACAAAAATTATTCAAAATATAGAAAAGTACATAAAAGTTTCGACAGCTTAAATGCCTCCATTGAAACTTTTGGAAATAATTTTTTACATAGAATATGTTCGATTTAATTCTATAAATGTTATTATTTTTTAATTATTTAAAATACGAATAAATTTTCCAATTCCAAGAAATGGAATACTTAGGTCTTTTTTAATTGATACTTATGCAATATTGTACGATATTAACAAATCTTTTTATGTAATTTTATTATATTTAATTATATCCGTATTTATTAAACATTTCAATGAAGTATATAACACATTTGGTGTAAAGAATTATGCCTCACAAATATGTTTGCGAACAATGTGTAAATGAATGACAAACAAATGCTGAACCGTTCACAAATGAAGCCAGTGAGAACGCATCATAGCACGAAACACACATGATATTTCTAATCATTTTTTACACAAATCCCATTTTTTGATGTAACGTAACCTTTTTACTTCAATTTTTCATCTCACGAAAAAACACGACATATTAATTACGATATGAATCATATCCTTCCACACAAGTGTTTATAAGTGTATATCATACTTCCTTCAATTTATCATTTTAAACATGATACTTCTAATTACAGCATAAATTTCATCTATATCACGTAATTTCTTTACTTCAACTTTGCATCTCTACTAAATGAATTTTTTTTCAGCAAACACTATATTGAATCATCATAATAAGTAACATAATCATACTTTTTTTTTCAGCAACCTCTAAGAATATCATCGTAACAAGAAATATAACAATTCATCGAATCATCATTTTTATGTAAATTATCACTGGAGAAATTTTTCGAAATTATATCGTTAAATGATCATTTGCTTTATCTTTTTCGCAGGTAGAAGAACAGCCGAGAAAAGTCAGTCTGAAACCTGGAACGAAGGTAACAAAATTAATTATAAAAATAATTCAAAGTAATAAATCATTAAGAGCCAATATTATCATGATGCAGTATTTTATTTATAATCTTTTTTAAACGTTTTATTTTCAATTTATATCATTAAATTTTTTTAACACTGTAGTTGTAAAAGAAGATTCCAAAAGCTGAATCCTTTGAGTTTATGAAGTGAATATTTAAATGAAGAGATCACAGAATTCCCAGCAATAGAGAATTATTTTTCTCAGATCATAGTCATTATTAACTTTTTAATATTGTCATGATTATAGAAACTTTTCTGGTTAGAGAACAACGTTAACGTCTAATTTTTTTAAATTACAGATCGAAGTGGAAGCGAAGACGTTGAACAAAGTGGAACTCAAGGTGAGTTGGTCTTCTTTCTCTCGGACATTATTCATAATTAAATGAGGAACTTTTACTTTATGGGTGTAATTTCATTTTGGTATTCGAACTGGTGTACAATAAATAGTCGTTGAGAATTCTTTTCAATATCAAACGATACGTTAAATGCAGCCAGCGGAACCGAAGGCGAACATGGAGAAATTTGGACTGCGTAAACCACCGAAATACGAAATTAAAGCCGAGAGCTTTCAGTCGGTCCGACTTAAACCGGTTTCGAAGGAGCCGAAAGCACCTGAAAAAGCTGAAAATGGCATTATAATTGACTTGAAGGTATTCCCGCGAATAGGAATCTAAATATACATACACTATACTCTTCTTCTTTCTCTTTCTTTCTTGTTCTCTACTCTCTCTTCTCTGTACATTTATACGCTCGACATTTACACATGTACATATTACATTGGCTGTCTATTGATTTTCGATCGTTCTACTTTTACTATGATTATGAGAAAGGTATCTTTCCGCACACTGAACAATTCTTTCCATAATACTGGTGCTTCTGAAGTCTAAAATGTTCGCGCTACATTCACACTGCAACTATGAAACATTCTCTTTCATACGCTAAACAATTCTTTCTATAATACTGGTGCTTGTACAATGATCATTCTTTCTTATCGTGACGATGAAAAGTTCTCTTTCACACATCGAATGATTCGTTTCGCGATACTAGTGCTTCTAAAATTATCGTTTATCACTCTCACACTGCGACTATGAAAAATTCTTTTTCACATACTGAGCAATTCTTTCTATAATACTGGTGCTTCTAAAATCTATAATGATCATTCTTCTTTTACCGTTACTATGAAAACTATTCTTTTTCACACGCTAGATGATTCTTTCCACTTGTGCTTATAAAATTACAAAATTTCGATCATTTCATTAATACCAAATTCAATATCCGGTATTTGGTATAATCTACTGCCGTTTTTGATATAATTCTACGCTTAGTTTCCTTCCTCCATGTTGATAACAATGATACAGGTTGCAAGGTGCTGTTTATAATGCGAAGACTCTTTCATTCTCTTCTCATTCTTCCGATTCTTAAAATCTCAGCGAATCGTTAACAAGACCGATTAATTCGAACTATAAATATTATTACTGATATTATGATTAATATAATAACAATTTCTAAGATGTCTCAGATATCTGCCTCTCCGATTGGAATTCTCTATGCTGAAGTCAATGTTCTATCTGTCGTTGTTTCTTCTATTGGAATTTTTATTATTGTATATGAAGGCCACAAGGGAAGATATTAATAATCCATGTTTCTCATTTATTTTATAAAGGCGCCGATAAGTTTCAAAATTACACATGTGTTGCTACGATTTTCTTTCATTGGATTTTGAAATTAAATATATACACATTGATTGTCGTAAAATCACCTCGTAAATTTATTATTAAATGTCTATGTATTTATATGAAATCTAAAAATCTAAAGATATATAGAATGGACATAATAAATTGCAAAATTATGCATATAAAATATTCAAATATTGAAATATTTAGTAGATGGGAATATTTTTGGCCAGGTTATTTCCATTTCCAACAATGTACGATGTACAATATATGTTATACATTTATAAAAAAAAAAAATCTAAAAAGTGCAAAATACAGTAAAAAACATATAAAATATTCAGAGTATAATACATTAAATTAAGATTATTTATTCCTTAAAACAAACAATAAAATTTATTCTTTAATTATTACAATTGAACACAATTCGTTATAGCATTAAAATCTATTTTCACATAAAGGTATAAACTTCTATAAAAATTCTCACTACAATGATACTCTCTAACATAAAAGTTTGAACATCAACAAAAGTGCGCATTCGTCTTTTTTCCCATGTGGGCTTCATTTCGATTCGAGTCTCGCGATTCTCGCCTAAAATTAACCGAAAAAAAAAAAATTAATCAATCACGCAGAAAACTGAGAAAGTGGAGAAGACTGAAGCTAAAAAGGCGAAAATCACGAAAGCCAGCAAGGAGAAGAGTTACGAGCTTCCAGAGATCCCAGATTACGAGAGACCGGTGTTGGAGAAGCCACAAGAATTCGATTTCGGTGACCACGTGCCTCGTGAGAAAAGCAAGTTGGATAGACCAGCCACACAAGTAAGAGAATCGTTGCTCTCGTTCTTCGTTCCGCTCCAATTTATGCAAAACTTTATCTCTATAATGGATTTAATACTGTTATTAGTGTCATTTATTTGAGTTACTAATGATTCTTGTTTTCCACGCGGCGGGCAGAAGTTCGATTCCAAGGTGAGTAATGGCTCGTTATTAATACGAGAATGAGAAAATGATTTTGCCAAGCTGCTTCGCTTTACGTCAGAAACAGTAAGAATTTTGCAATGTCTCGGGCTAAGTGTGGTCGACGGAGATTCGTCAAATTTCGTAAGCTCGAACGTGATCAAAACGGGGATACGGTCGTGCCGATTACGCGATATTCACTCGTTTATCCCAGAGTTGGGTGATATATTACTTTATTCAAATAGTAAATAGTTAATTTTATTTTTTTATATCATACGATTACTTAAGTATTTTATTGTATCGAGGAAAGTTTTTAAATTAATAATTTTAAGGTAGTTTAGTCTTACTAAAATTATTGAAATCAAACGTGTTATTAAAGATATTGTTTAAATATGCTTTAAATTTTTTTTTTTATTTGAATTATTATATATTATCATTGGTTTATTACCATAACAGTTTCTAAAAATCAATTAATTTTGGAAGTTTTAATTTAATTACTAATCTTTATCAACAAAAGTGAAATACGAAATATTAAATATCCTAAACTTTACTAATCTAGTGTAATAGGCTACTTGAGGATTAATTATATATTTAATTGCACAATTAAAATTTAACTTACTACTTAGAATATTACCTTATTCCAAGTGTACCCAATTCTGGATTTTGTCGTAATAAGACGTAACACTCTCATTGAAAAAAAGTCTTAGGACAAATGCTACATTCGATATATAAAATTGTACAATAAATATTAAAACGTATTATCATATAATAATTAATACTATAAAATAAAGCATCTGCCGATCGTATTATAAAATACACGTGTATTGAACGACACACATCCCGGGTATTAAAAACTACTGTCCTAAAACTTCCAAGTGAGAGCGTACTTTTAAGGACAGGAGCAAAGTTATTTATTCACAGAGAACGATCGTAACATAGTTCAGAGATTTTTCCCGCGATTTCGGTCTAATATTAATCAAAATTCGCGATTCGTCGGGGCCGCGCTCTCATGGTCGTAGACACGGTGCGGTGACACAAGAAATCCTCGCTGGCGGATTGGCAAGTGGTTCACGCTCGTGGTTTACCACTGATAAAAGATCGCCGACACAAATACCACGGTATAATCCTGGATCGATCCTCTCCCGATCGTAATTAACGCGACACGCTCGTACACGAGGGGCTAATAATCGAACGAATAAAATGACCGTTTGGCAACCGATGGATCCCATGTCCACCACCAGCCTGCATCCGGATGCCGAAAGAGGGGGGGAACTATTTTGGCAAATAAACGCTCGTATATCACCCCCCTTTGGTTCCCTGATTTTTCGCCGCTTGAAAATTAGGATGGAGAAAATGTCGATCGCTATTTTCGGTGTAATTGCGTCCCGCTCGCGCCCGACCATATCTCGTCGCTTCGATTCGTCGAGGGAGAGATCAGTCTCGATTCAGTCTTAATCTCAGCACGATCTGTGATCGCGATCGCGTTCTAGCAGTCGCCGACGATAAACGGTTCCCGAACATTTGGTAAATCGGACCGATCGACGTGTTCAATTTGATTCGAATTGTTCAATTTCCCCGGGCTCTTTATTATTACGTTGAGTTTCTTCTTACATGAACGAATATATCGTTCGATCGTGATCGCGATCGCGTTCGAGCGGCTCGAAGGCAAATGTGATTTTAAAAATTGTTTCACTTCGTTGTTGTTCCGAGCGACCAAGAAAGTTCTGATGTTCCTCTTTCGGTGGAAAATATAATTGAAGAGGAACTATTTTAAAGAAACAGAAGAACTATTTTAAAGACCTTTTTCAATAAATAAAATTCTTCCCTTTTCTTGTGAGTTGTTAGTCTTCGGACGGATCGTAGATATTTACTGCGTTCAATCATAGAAACATTTGTGGAGAAACATTACGAACAAAATAAGTGAATTACAAGAGAATGTAAGATCGTAGGTGTGATTTTTGAAAAAATTAAATCGCTTGTATGAAGGCTTTTCATTTATTCAATTTACTCACTTAATATTAATTTCTCGGATTGTTATTTGTTTTCTAGCCTGGATAATCATTCAAAGAATATATATATATGTCAGCAATTGAGAAATAAAAATACTGTGGAAACGGCGTTGGAAGAATTTTTTATTTTTCATAATTGAATGGCAATTGTTGAATGGAAATAAGAAATTATTCGATAAAATTCACCGATGAATTTCAGTGATGAGTTTTCTTTTCTTTTCTTTTAACGTTTTACCTCTTACTTCAAGTTTTCTACTTCAATTTTTGACATTGAACATTATTTTCAACATAACAGAGAAAATGTACTACTTGAGGTAAAATGACCCAATATTAGTTTCTCCATTGAAAACATGATTAAATATAAAAATATTTTGATATATCGAATATTTAAATGTAATATCTGATATTTGTATAATATTCATCGAACAAAAGTCACTGTCAAATGTTTTAAGATATTCATAAAATTCAGCCGAGAAATGATACGTACTAATCGATGAGAAATTTCTCGAGATGTTTTCGTAATTTTATAGAAATATAAAAGTGGGTCGAAAAGAACGTAACAGGGTTAATCACGTACCATTAGATTTTTTTAAAGAATAACATTGATAATTCCACGAAATTCTTCATTCTTCGATTATTTGATTATTCACATGACACATTATATATCAATATAAATACAAGCATTTGTACATTTCTTCTTCTTCTTCTCCAAAAAAAAAAAAAAAAAAAAAATCTGACAGAATTTTCTTGGTTACGCGATATACATAAATTCTCGTTCGTTCGATCGCAATTACATGTTTATCTATATCGAAGTGACAGGAAACGGTCAAACGCTTTAGCTGTCGCTTGTCTCTCCAAATTTTCAAACACAATGCAATCATGACTGATTATTCGTTTTCTCGCGTGCTTAGCCGAAGGTGCCTGAAATCAAAGCACCTGAGACACCGAAGATCGAAGTTATCAAAGACGTAACACCGGCTGGAAGCAGAAAGAGTTCCCTGATACCTGGTAGCGGCACAACCAGTCGACGAGGCTCATTGATACCACCGGAGGAATTGGGTCGCAGACCCAGTTTGATTATCAGTGACGAGGTATGTTACGGATTATGTTTATCCACGAGGTATATCGGTTATGCTTCTCTGATTATCGAGTGAACAGCTACGATGGTATCGTTCGCAATGATTAAACAAACGTCTTGAATTAGTTAAACTATTTTCGTGATTGTCTGAAATTCCATTTCTTACGGTTTCGTTCAATTGAATTGCAACGAAATTGCATTCGTTGCGTCTCCTCGGCGCGTACGTGAAATTTTCGATTATTTAATTATTCGAATAATTATTGAATTGCTTAGTGATCGGATTTCTTGATTGGTTCGGAATTATTATTTAACTATTCAACCATTCATTTACTCAACTTTTGTACAGCATTCTTGACTAAACGAAATTATGTACTGTTCCACGTATGACCATTCAATTGTTTGATTTAATTATTTAATTATTAATTGTTACTCAACTGTTCATCTATTCGACTGTTATACAATCAATTCATCGTTGAAACCGATACCATCGCAGCCACTCCGCCTCGACGATTAAAGCGATTTGCTCCGGAACGAGTCCGTCTGGACGACGACGACAGATCGAACCTTTTGGATCAGTAACGAATTTTATCGCGAAACTCGTTAATCAAGGTCTCTTTGTAAGATTGCCAAGCAATGTTCTTAATAGCCCGCGATGTCTAATACCTTCCCAAAAATAAACGCATTCGGACCTATTTTTGTGCAATTACTCATTACTAATTTTTGATTCGGAGCTGACTGGGCGTGTCCAAGAGCCGAAATCAGTGATAGATCATAAACGACGACAGATTAACGTATCAAAGGATACGAGATATGTGTGCAATGCCGTGACAGTTTTTCGTTGCTTTCTGGCGACGAAAAGTAACGTTTTCAACGGAGCAAGTCGATTAATCGCTCGAGAGGAACACTCGCAGGTTGCTCTTCGTCTCAGTTTTTCCTTTCCATTAGTTAAATTCTCTTGAGCTTAGTGGAGTTCAATTCTCGACTGGGTCAGTGGACCGTGGATTTTTGCGCATTTTTATGTTTTTGTGAACGTAATTGAAGAAATGGGATCTAAATAGAAATATGCTTCGTCTATTAAATATTGTATTAAAAACTCTGCCATTTTTAGATTTGATTCTGCGCCTTTCATATTTTACAGAATTATGTAGAAATGAGTAGTTTATGGATCAGAGATGTGATCCATAGATGTTGACTGTGAATGTTTATACATTTATTAAAAATTGAGTAGTGTAAAGATTAATTAGAAATAATAATTTATACAGTACATTAAATTATATACAGAAATTTACATTATTGGTGGAAAATTTTAGTTTATATATTTTACGAGAAATCAGTTAAATCTTTAAAAACCTATGTTATAAACATATGATTTCTGTGAAAAATTATGAACGAGTTATTTTGACCACTTTATATAATAATTCTAAATTGTTATATAAAGTCTTTCATTGAATCTAAGAATTTACAAAAAATATCGCACAAAAATTACGCACAATTTCATAAATCACATATGTATAATCAATCATATAAACGTCAATTTTGATCGATGAGGGTAAAACAATTATTATCTGTGTAACATTAATCTTTAATTAATAACAAAATTAGTGGAAAAATCAATACAGATACAACATACAAACTTGTCATCAATAGTATATAAAAAATATATAAATAATATGTACGATAATTGTATAATTTAAATAATTTATATATTAATATATAATTACATAAAATATATAAAATAAAATATTTAATAAATCTCACGAAACAGATCTCTATTAAAGTCCCACTTCTTTGATAACATTCATAAAAGTATGAGTTCTCGTAAACATTTGCAGCTTGTTTATCTCGGCGTTAC